TTTTGGCCCCGCCCCTCAGGCCCCTGGGGGCTTAGGACTAAACCGGCAACTATTTTTGTTGACCTTTGTCCATGGAAGGTCCCTGCAAAATTTCATTGAAATTGGTTCAGGGGTTTTGGAGAAGAAGTCGAAAATGTGAATTGTTTACGGACGCACGACGGACGACGGACGACGACGGACAAAAGGCGATCGCAATAGGTCACTGGAGACTTTGTCTCAGGTGACCTAAAAAAAGGGCACAGGGTTTTGCTATCTGTTATTTGGTACTGACAAGGTCAAAGGGAATTTTCGTTTAGCTCAATTGTTAAAGCTAGTAAAATCGCTATGTGAACAGGTTACATTATAAAACAGTGTTATACATGTATTCCCTTTTTCTGACGAGCTGAATAGTGAAGTTAACAAGACTGCAGTGACAAGTTTTCAGTCATTTACTATAAAGATATTAACCATCATGAATGATCGCAAAGTGAGAAGTAGATCTAACTTCAAATTAATAATAACTTCAATAATAAAATGATTGTGGGGCACTTAAGTGCCCTCCTAGTGGGGAATAGTGAATAAAGAATGATTTCATAAGAGCTATGTCTAAATTCAACCAGCAACTTTCAGAGAAGATGTCAATTAAAGTTGCATTCATTGTTATGAGATACCCAGCCTTTCAGCCCACCTAGGGTTGGGCTCGGGGGATAGAAATCTCAGCATTAAGAGAACTGTAAAATGATACAAATACAGGGCCTGTATCACTCACCTGAATATTTAAGCAGTCATAGCAAAATATTTTCTTGCACTGAAAAAATATTTCCCTCACAAACTTTGTTGGCTCCATCTGTTGAAACTACCAGCAAAATATTATTATAAGATTCTATGCTTTTTGATTCTTCTTCAGAAGTGACTTGACATATTTCCCCCTGTGTTCTTGTAAGTAGGTCAATGTCATTTTCCTTCTCAAATTGGTTAGCTCTATTCCAAAAAGCTACCAGCCAAATCTTACGAATCCATTCCTTTAAGTTCTCAAGCCAAATATTATAATTTTATGAATTTTAATTCTTCAGAAGTAGTTTGAACCGTTTGACATATTTGAACGCTATGACCTTGAAAGTAAGTCAAGGTTATTTTCATTCACAAACTTTGTTTGGCTCTGTCCCAGGAAATAACCAGCCAAACATTAAGGTTCTATACCTTCCAGTTCTTCAGAAGAAGTTGTACTAAGCGTTAGATATATCTGACTCCTGTGACTTTGAAAGTAGGTTAAGGTAAATTTTGTTTTCAAACTTTGTCAGGCTCTATTCCAGGAAGCCACCATCCAAATATAAAGATTCTATAGCTTTCAGTTCTTCAGAAGAAGTCGTTTGAAGTATTTGACACATTTGACCCCTGTGACCTTGAAAGTAGGTAAAGGTCATTTTCATTCTCAAACTTTGTTGGGATCCATCACAGGAAGCCATCAGCCAAATATGAAGATTCTATACCTTTTAGTTCTTCAAAAGAAGTCGTTTTTGACATGTTTGACCCCTGTGACCTTGAAGGAATTTAGGAAATATTTGCTAGAGTTATTAAGCAGAAACTCCAGATAATGACATTTTTCGTTAATCAAGTGGCCATATCTCTGCCTAATGGACTCCGCTTAAAGTGGTTGTCAAACTTGGCCGAGCCCTTAATGAGTTGAACCCTGTTACTAAGTTTGAAGACAATCCGATAATATTTGCGAGAGTAAATGAACAGAAACTGAAGATAATGATGTTTTTTGTTATTCAAGGGACCACAACTCCGCCCAAATAAAGTCCACTGAAAATGGTCATAGTACTTGGCCAAGTCCTTAGGCATTTAACCCTGTGACCAAGTTTGAAGAAAATCGGTTAACATTTGATGTAATTATTGCACTTAAACGAAACGAGGCAGATAATGTTTTTCGTTATTCAGGGGCCATTACTCTGCCAAATGGGCTGCTGAAAGTGGTCATCGAACTTGGCCGAGCCCTTAAGACATTTAACCCTGTGACCAAGTTTGAAGAAATTTGGTGAACATTTGTTGTAATTATTGCACCAAAACGAAGCATGACAGACAGATGGACAAACCCAAATTTATATCCCCCGTATAAGGCCTAAGGTATATCACTCACCTGAGGAACAGAATTAGTGACTATTTAACAAAGATATCTAGTATACATACTTGGTCCACCTTTTCCTTTGAAGGTCTTGGCCACAATACAGGTAGGCTTGCCCTTGACAGTGGTAGCATCATGGAATGCTTTACAAAGCTCCTCCACACTATGTCCATTCACAACATAGGTGTTCCACCTGTTAACAATGAACAGGTGATCAGGTAAAAAACCACAACATAGATGTTCTACCTGTCAACAATGAACAGGTGATCAGGTAATAGGTGTTCTACCTGTCAACAATCAACAGGTGATCAAGTAATAGGTGTTCTACCTGTTAACAATCAACAGGTGATCAGGTAAAAAACCCACAACATAGGTGTTCTACCTGTCATGAACAGGTGATCAGGTAATAGGCGTTCTACCTGTCAACAATCAACAGGTGATCAGGTAAAAAAACCCACAACATCGGTGTTCTACCTGTCAACAATGAACAGGGGATCAGGTAAAAAACCCACAACATAGGTGTTCTACCTGTCAACAATCAACAGGTGATCAGGTAAAAAAACCCACAACATCGGTGTTCTACCTGTCAACAATCAACAGGGGATCAGGTAAAAAAAAACACAACATAGATGTTCTACCTGTCAACAATGAACCGGTGATCAGGTAATAGGTGTTCTACCTGTCAACAATGAACAGGGGATCAGGTAAAAAAAAACACAACATAGATGTTCTACCTGTCAACAATCAACAGGTGATCAGGTAATAGGTGTTCTACCTGTCAATAATCAACAGGTGATCAGGTAATAAGTGTTCTACCTGTCAACAATCAACAGGTGATCAGGTAAAAAACCCACAACATAGGTGTTCTACCTTTTAACAATCCACAGGTGATCAGGTAACAAACCACAACATAGGTGTTCTACCTGTTAACAATCAACAGGTGATCAGGTAAAAACCCCACAATATAGGCATTTTACCTGTCAACAATCAACAGGTGATCAGGTAAAAGGTGTTCTACCTGTCAACAATCAACAGGGGATCAGGTAAAAAAAAACACAACATAGATGTTCTACCTGTCAACAATGAACAGGTGATCAGGTAATAGGTGTTCTACCGGTCAATAATCAACAGGTGATCAGGTAATAGGTGTTCTACCGGTCAACAATCAACAGGTGATCAGGTAATAGGTGTTCTACCTGTCAACAATGAACAGGTGATCAAGTAATAGGTGTTCTACCTGTCAACAATCAACAGGTGATCAGGTAAAAGGTGTTCTACCTGTCAACAATCAACAGGTGATCAGGGAAAAAAAACCATAACATAGGTGTTCTACCTGTCAACAATCAACAGGTGATCAGGTAAAAGGTGTTCTACCTGTCAACAATCAACAGGTGATCAGGTAAAAAAAACCATAACATAGGTGTTCTACCTGTCAACAATCAACAGGTGATCAGGTAAAAAACCCACAACATAGGTGTTCTACCTGCCAACAATCAACAGGTGATCAGGTAATAGGCGTTCTACCTGTCAATAATCAACAGGTGATCAGGTAAAAAACCCACAAAATAGGTGTTCTACCTGTTAACAATCAACAGGTGATCAGGTAATAAACCACAACATCGATGTTCTACCTGTCAACAATCAACAATCAACAGGTGATCAGGAAATAGGTGTTCTACCTGTCAATAATCAACAGGTGATCAGGTAAAAAACCCAAAACATAGGTGTTCTACCTGTTAACAATCAACAGGTGATCAGGTAATGAACCACAACATAGGCATTTTACCTGTCAACAATCAACAAGTGATCAGGTAATAGGTGTTCTACCTGTCAATAATCAACAGGTGATCAGGTAAAAGGGGTTCTACCTGTCAACAATCAACAATCAACAGGTGATCAGGAAATAGGTGTTCTACCTGTCAATAATCAACAGGTGATCAGGTAAAAAACCCACAAAATAGGTGTTCTACCTGTTAACAATCAACAGGGGATCAGGTAAAAGGTGTTCTACCTGTCACCAATCAACAGGTGATCAGGTAAAAAACCCAAAACATAGGTGTTCTACCGGTTAACAATCAACAGGTGATCAGGTAATAAACCACAACATCGATGTTCTACCTGTCAACAATCAACCGGTGATCAGGTAAAAAACCCACAAAATAGGTGTTCTACCTGTTAACAATCAACAGGTGATCAGGTAATAAACCACAACATAGGCATTTTACCTGTCAACAATCAACAGGTGATCAGGTAATAGGTGTTCTACCTGTCAATAATCAACAGGTGATCAGGTAAAAAACCCAAAACATAGGTGTTCTACCGGTTAACAATCAACAGGTGATCAGGTAATAGGTGTTCTACCTGTCAACAATCAACAGGTGATCAGGTAATAAACCACAACATCGGTGTTCTACCTGTCAACAATCAACAGGTGATCAGGTAATAGGTGTTCTACTTGTCAACAATCAACAGGTGATCAGGTGATAGGTGTTCTACCTGTCAACAATCAACAGGTGATCAGGTAAAAAACCACAACATAGGTGTTCTACCTGTTAACAATCAACAGGTGATCAGGTAAAAACCCCACAATATTATAGGCATTTTACCTGTCAACAATCAACAAGTGATCAGGTAATAGGTGTTCTACCTGTCAATAATCAACAGGTGATCAGGTAAAACCCCCACAACATAGGTGTTCTACCTGTTAACAATCAACAGGTGATCAGGTAAAAAACCCACAACATAGGTGTTCTACCTGTCAACAATCAACAGGTGATCAGGTAATAGGTGTTCTACCTGTCAACAATCAACAGGTGATCAGGTAAAAAACCCACAACATAGGTGTTCTACCTGTCAACAATCAACAGGTGATCAGGTAATAGGTGTTCTACCTGTCAACAATCAACAGGTGATCAGGTAATAAACCCACAACATAGGTGTTCTACCTGTCAACAATCAACAGGTGATCAGGTAATAGGTGTTCTACCTGTCAACAATCAACAGGTGATCAGGTAAAAAACCCACAACATAGGTGTTCTACCTGTCAACAATCAACAGGTGATCAGGTAATAGGTGTTCTACCTGTCAACAATCAACAGGTGATCAGGTAAAAAACCCACAACATAGGTGTTCTACCTGTCAACAATCAACAGGTGATCAGGTAATAGGTGTTCTACCTGTCAACAATCAACAGGTGATCAGGTAAAAAACCCACAACATAGGTGTTCTACCTGTCAACAATCAACAGGTGATCAGGTAATAGGTGTTCTACCTGTCAACAATCAACAGGTGATCAGGTAATAAGTGTTCTACCTGTCAACAATCAACAGGTGATCAGGTAAAAAACCCACAACATAGGTGTTCTACCTGTCAACAATCAACAGGTGATCAGGTAATAGGTGTTCTACCTGTCAACAATCAACAGGTGATCAGGTAATAAACCCACAACATAGGTGTTCTACCTGTCAACAATCAACAGGTGATCAGGTAATAGGTGTTCTACCTGTCAACAATCAACAGGTGATCAGGTAATAAACCCACAACATAGGTGTTCTACCTGTCAACAATCAACAGGTGATCAGGTAATAGGTGTTCTACCTGTCAACAATCAACAGGTGATCAGGTAATAAACCCACAACATAGGTGTTCTACCTGTCAACAATCAACAGGTGATCAGGTAATAGGTGTTCTACCTGTCAACAATCAACAGGTGATCAGGTAATAAACCCACAACATAGGTGTTCTACCTGTCAACAATCAACAGGTGATCAGGTAATAGGTGTTCTACCTGTCAACAATCAACAGGTGATCAGGTAATAAGTGTTCTACCTGTCAACAATCAACAGGTGATCAGGTAAAAAACCCACAACATAGGTGTTCTACCTGTCAACAATCAACAGGTGATCAGGTAATAGGTGTTCTACCTGTCAACAATCAACAGGTGATCAGGTAATAAACCCACAACATAGGTGTTCTACCTGTCAACAATCAACAGGTGATCAGGTAATAGGTGTTCTACCTGTCAACAATCAACAGGTGATCAGGTAATAAACCCACAACATAGGTGTTCTACCTGTCAACAATCAACAGGTGATCAGGTAATAGGTGTTCTACCTGTCAACAATCAACAGGTGATCAGGTAAAAAACCCACAACATAGGTGTTCTACCTGTCAACAATCAACAGGTGATCAGGTAATAGGTGTTCTACCTGTCAACAATCAACAGGTGATCAGGTAATAGGTGTTCTACCTGTCAACAATCAACAGGTGATCAGGTAATAGGTGTTCTACCTGTCAACAATCAACAGGTGATCAGGTAATAGGTGTTCTACCTGTCAACAATCAACAGGTGATCAGGTAATAGGTGTTCTACCTGTCAACAATCAACAGGTGATCAGGTAAAAAACCCACAACATAGGTGTTCTACCTGTCAACAATCAACAGGTGATCAGGTAATAGGTGTTCTACCTGTCAACAATCAACAGGTGATCAGGTAATAGGTGTTCTACCTGTCAACAATCAACAGGTGATCAGGTAATAGGTGTTCTACCTGTCAACAATCAACAGGTGATCAGGTAATAGGTGTTCTACCTGTCAACAATCAACAGGTGATCAGGTAATAGGTGTTCTACCTGTCAACAATCAACAGGTGATCAGGTAAAAAACCCACAACATAGGTGTTCTACCTGTCAACAATCAACAGGTGATCAGGTAATAGGTGTTCTACCTGTCAACAATCAACAGGTGATCAGGTAAAAAACCCACAACATAGGTGTTCTACCTGTCAACAATCAACAGGTGATCAGGTAATAGGTGTTCTACCTGTCAACAATCAACAGGTGATCAGGTAATAGGTGTTCTACCTGTCAACAATCAACAGGTGATCAGGTAATAGGTGTTCTACCTGTCAACAATCAACAGGTGATCAGGTAATAGGTGTTCTACCTGTCAACAATCAACAGGTGATCAGGTAATAGGTGTTCTACCTGTCAACAATCAACAGGTGATCAGGTAATAAACCACAACATCGGTGTTCTACCTGTCAACAATCAACAGGTGATCAGGTAATAGGTGTTCTACTTGTCAACAATCAACAGGTGATCAGGTGATAGGTGTTCTACCTGTCAACAATCAACAGGTGATCAGGTAAAAAACCACAACATAGGTGTTCTACCTGTTAACAATCAACAGGTGATCAGGTAAAAAACCCACAACATAGGTGTTCTACCTGTCAACAATCAACAGGTGATCAGGTAATAGGTGTTCTACCTGTCAACAATCGACAGGTGATCAGGTAATAGGTGTTCTACCTGTCAACAATCAACAGGTGTTCAGGTAAAAACCCACAACATAGGTGTTCTACCTGTTAACAATCAACAGGTGATCAGGTAATAAACCACAACATAGGTGTTCTACCTGTCAACAATCAACAGGTGATCAGGTAATAGGTGTTCTACCTGTCAACAATCAACAGGTGATCAGGAAATAAACCACAACATCGGTGTTCTACCTATTATGAAGAACATACAGACACCTATGTGTTTCTGTGAATACACTTAATTTCAGGCTTACCCAAAGCTCTCAGCCCTAGCCTTATAGACTTCAAGGTTGTGCTGCAGACTGGTGGGTTCACTCTGTCCGAGACGGTTCACATCAAAGATGGCCACCACATTATCCAGTTTGTAGCAGCTAGCGAAGGACATAGCCTCCCAGATAGAGCCCTCAGCACTCTCCCCATCCCCAATCACACAGTACACACGGTAGTCAGCTTTGTCAAAATACTTCCCTGTGTAGGCCATCCCCACAGCAACACTCAAACCCTGGCCCAATGATCCTGTTGCAACATCGACGAAGTTCAGTCGAGGGGTGGGATGTCCCTCCAGGTCAGAGTGAATTTTCCTGAGATTCAGCAGATCCTCTGTGGGGAACAGTCCTGCTTCAGCCCAGGCTGCATACAGTATCGGGGCAGCATGACCCTGTGGTGGTAGAAAATTGCATTCATTTGATTTCCTACAGCTAAATGTTTCAGTGTATGTCATACATTTAATTTCCACTGCAAAATCTTCTAAAAGCACAAGCAGAAGAAATGTGTTCATAGGACTATGAACCCAAATTGATGAGCGCCACTCAAATAACACGAAGCAAACATTTCAGGAATCTTGCTTGTACTGACAATGCAGACACTTCAATATTGCAAGTACAAGAAATACCTATATTAAGATCAATAACTATAAAAGTAAGAATGACAATATATTTACTGAACACCATTTGTCATTTTCATGCCGATATGAATGCAAATCGGTTACATACATATTCAATTAGACCGCTAGCCTGTAAACCAGTTTCCTAAGATGGTTTATACAAGAGGCCCAATGGGCCTGAATCGATTACACTTGTAATCTTAATAGTGGACTAATATACAGCTACAGGAAAAATATCTGTGTTCGATTCATTTGAATCTCTTCAATGAATTAAACATGACGCCTGTGACCTTTCAAGTCGAACAAGGACATTAAAGTTGAACAGAGGTTATAGCCTTCCGTCCCAGCATGCTTCTGGCTAAATATCATTACCCTGGACCTTTTGAATATTCAGAACAAGTCATTTAAAGATTTAAACATATTTGATCCCTGTGACCTTGAATATGAGCGAAGGTTATCATTTGAACAAACTTGGTAGCCCTTCATCCCAGCATGTTACTGGCCAAATATCATCATCCAAGGCCTTTTGGTTATTGAGAAGTTGTTTAAAGGTTTTTAATATTTTTGACCCCTGTGACCTTGAAAATGAGTCATTTATTTGAACGAACTTGGTAGCCCATCATCTGAGCATAATACTGGTCAAATATCATTATTCTAGGCCTCTTTGGTATTCAGGAGAAGTTGTTAAAAGGTTTTAAACATATTTGGCCCCTGTGACCTTGAAAATGGGCAAGGTTATTTGTTTGAACAAACTTGGTAGCCCTTCATCCATGCATGTTACAGGCCCAATATCAGTACCCTGGGCCTTTTGGTAACTGAGAAGTCGTTTGAAGATTTTAACACATTTGAACCCTGCGACCTTGAAAGTGGGTCAAGGTCATTCATTTGAACAAACTTGGTAGCCCTTTATCCCATTATGCAACATGCCAAATTTCAGTACCCTGGGGATTTTGGTTATTGAGAAGATGTTGTTTGAAGATTTTAAGACATCTGACCCGGTGACCTTGAAAGTGGGTCAAGGTCATTCATTTGAACAAATATGGTAACCCTTCATCCCATCATGCTACAGGCTTAATATCAGTACCCTGGGCCTTTTGGTTATTGAGAAGTCTTTTGAAGATTTAAAGACATCTGACCCCAGTGACCTTGAAAGTGGGTCAAGGTCATTCATTTGAACAAACTTGGTAGCCCTTCATCCATGCATTCTACAGGCCCAATATCAGTACCCTGGGCCTTTGGGTTGTTGAGAAGAAGTGGTTTTAATGGAAAAGTTGACGACGGATGGATGACGTACGCCGCACTATGGCATAAGATCACTTTCCCTTTGGGCAGGTGAGCTAAATATACAAACCCATTAATATTATGATAATGAACTTAAACAAGAGATCCTGGAGGGATCTTGGCACCCACCATTGTACCATTTTCATTAGTTCTATGTCAGTTCGATCTTTTCTCTTCTTTTCTCTAATCTGTTTGATCGAGTCATGTTAACAGTAAATGAACCTTGAGGTAACTTTTTATCTAAACTTAATACTGCTGTGTATAAAAGACAACCTTCAAAGTGAGTTTTGTCATTTCATATATTTATTTGTACAGTACTTAATGTGAAAGAAATAGAATTGATCATTGCAATATGAGAAAGATCTGTTAAGTTCTTCCTTCAGCCATTTTGTTTTTATGATTAGTCTCAAAATATAACGAGGGATCAAGGGGAACCTACACATCAAATTTGAGAAAGATCCCTACTATTATTCCTGAGAAATAGTACTAACATACCTTCAATGTCAAAAATCGAAGCCTGTCTGCCAGTTTGTTTATCTGATCAGTCTCAAAAGTAAATATACACAACTAAGGACCAAAGGGAACCTGCATATCAAATTTTAGAACGATCCCTCCAGTTCTTCATGAGAAATAGCGATAACAAACCTTTAATGTCAAAATCCAAGATGGCTGCCTGTCGGCCATGTTGTTTATCCGATCAGTCTCCAAAGTTGCCCTGCACAACTAAGGACCAAGGGGAACCTACATATACAATTACAGAAAGATCCCTGCAGTACTCCCTGAGAAATAGTGATAACAAACCTTCACTATAAAAATCCAAGATGGCTGCCTGTCGGCCATGTTAATTATCCGATCAGTCTCAAAAGTTGCCCTGCACAACTACGGACCAAGGGGAACCTACATATAAAAGTTGAAAAAGATCACTCTAGTACTGCTTGAGAAATAGCAATAACAAACCTTCATCATCAAAATCCAAGATGGCTGCCTGTCGGCCATGTTGTTTATCAGTCTCAAAAGTTGCCTTGCACAACTAATAACCAAGGGGAACCTACATAGGAAATTTGAGAAAGATTCCTCTGGTTCTCTTAAGAAATAGCAATAACAAGAATTGTTTAAGGACGGACGATGGACCAGACGCCGGGTGATCTGAATAGCCCACCATCAGATGATGGTGGGCTAAAAACAGAGGACAGTTGATCTGTATGGTGGACAGGATAAATAACTATTTTGAAGGTTAATTCCCAAAGACAGTAACAGTTGTTTTCTATCTTTCATCAGTGGAAGTAGTCCTTGGAAAGCTCTATCAACATTGGACAATATAAAGACCTTTTTGAGAGGTTTAATACTTTCAACAAGACCAAGTGATCACTGACAAGAATTACCAACCATGCACAAGTTGAAAAGGTCATTGAAGTTGACTACTTTTACAGAATATAGCATTCGTTATAGTCACCTATTTGCACATGAAACAGGGTGATTGTAAGGTTAGCATTCTTAGACAAAATTGTCAGTGGGCGAGACACTAACCTTGGACAAGATGAAGCAGTTGTTGGAGAGTTACAAGTCTCTAAAGGTTGTGTAAATGAAAGGAAAGAGAGACCAATGGAAACGACAAACACAAAATGCCCTCTCCACTAATGACAGACTTGGTATAAAACAAGAGGCCCAATGGGCCTAAATCGCTCACCTGGTATTAATCTCACACTTGTAATCTTAAAAGTGGACTAAAATACAGCTACAGGGAGAATATCAGTGTTTGATTCATAAGAACCTATTAAAAGATTTAAACATATGTCGCCTGTGACTTTGAATGTCCAACAAGGACATTAGGTTGAACAGAGTTTAAAGTCTTCCAACCCAGCATGCCTTTGGCAAATTATCATAACCCTGGACCTATTGGTTATACAGAACAATTCATTTAAAGATTTAAACAGATATTGACCACTGTGACCTTGAATATGGGCGAAGGTCATTCATTTTGACAAAATTGGTAGCCCTTAATCCCTACCTGTTAATGACCAAATATCATCACCCTTGGCCTTTAGCTAATTTAGAAGAAGTCGTTTAAAGGTTTTTAACATATTTGACCCCTGTGACCTTGAAAATAAGTCAAGGTCGTTCATTCGAACAAACTTGGTAGCCCTTCATCACAGCATGCTACTGGCCAAATAACATCATCCTAGGCCTTTTGGTTACCGAGAAGAAGTTGTTTAAAGGTTTTTAACATATTTGACCCCTGTGACCTTGAATATAAGTCAAGGTCGTTCATTCGGACAAACTTGATAGCCCTTATCCCAGCATGCTACTGGCCAAATAGCATTATCCTAGGCCTCCTGGTTATTCAGAAGAAGTTGTATAAAAGTTTTAAACATATTTGAACCCAGTGAACTTGAATATAAGTAAAGATCATTCATTTGAACAAACTTGGTTGCCCTTTATCCCAGCAGGCTACTGGCCAAATATCATTATCCTAAGCCTCTTGGTTATTCAGAAGAAGTTGTTTAAAGGTTTTAAACATATTTGACCCTGTGACCTTGAAAATAAGTCAAGGTCATTCATTCGAACAAACTTGGTACCCCTTCATCACAGCATGCTACTGGCCAAATAACATCATCCTAGGCCTTTTGGGTATTGAGTAGAAGTTGTTTAAAGGTTTTTAACATATTTGACCCCTGTGACCTTGAACATAAGTAAAGGTCATTCATTTGAACAAACTTGGTAGCCCTTCATCCCAGCATGCTACTAGCCAAAAATCATCACTCTGGGCATTTTGATTATTCAGAAGAAGTTGTTTAAAGTAAAATAGTGACACCGGACGACGGACGACGGACGCTGCACCATCGCATAAGCTCACTTGGCCCTTTGGGCCAGGTGAGCTAAAAATATTGTTTCGAAAGCATTCATCCGAGAATTACCTACATTGGACAGGATGGTGAGTCTTTATATATAGGCTTGTTTTGCTTTGTCTAGGATTTTATATCTTGGTAACAGCTAAGGTCATATGAAAAACAGGTACAAACTACATCATGAGACACTGCCGGAAAAAAAGTGTAGGTAGGACAGAAAAAATTGAGATCCCCATGAGGTCCCCATGGCCAGTCTTGCAATGAGGACAATGGGGACGCAATATTGGGGACAGCAATCACTTTTGTTTTGTCATCTAAGTAGAATACAACACAAATTCTGATGTTGTGACTGGTTTGCCTTGTACAAGGTAAGGCAGTCTTTAGATAGTAACCTATCTTGGAGAGTGAAGCAGTCTTGGGAGGGTTATTTACCTTGAACAAGATAAAGCTGTCTTTAGATAGTAACCTATCTTGGAGAGTGAAGCAGTCTTAGGGGGGTTATTTACCTTATACAAGATAAAGCTGTCTTTAGATAGTAACGTCTTTAGATAGTAACCTATCTTGGAGAGTGAAGCAGTCTTAGGGGGTTATTTACCTTGTACAAGATATTAACCTATCTTGGAGAGTGAAGCAGTCTTGGGAGGGTTA